CATTACTTTATACACAATGTGAATTTTTTTTAACACTTTAGTCACTTTAAGAAAATAATCCAGTCTCACCTTGATCTCAGACAGGATCTTGCTTTTGCCTGGAGAGGGAACCGAGTCCACCCACATCACAACTTCCCTTAATGGTGAAAAACATAAATGGGTGTTAATTTAAAACAAACCATTTAAACATAAAATCAGCAATTCTGACTTTTGTTTTAACTGCATTTTATACGTTGCAGTCAACGTAAAGCAGCGCTTACTTCCGGCAAACTGGAACGGTGTGGTACAGAGTCAGAAAGAGCGCGACTGCAATCACGCCACAGAAGAAATAAATCAGTTTGGAGACGGACCAGGCGGCTGTCGAGGAGCAGAAACCAGATTAAACAGGTTGTCCTGCTCATAACATCAACACTACGCACACTAATACTGTAAGCACCTTTATTTGAGGTCCAGTTCGCAGGTTCAGACCATTCTGAGGGGATTCCTTCGTATTTGGAACCTGCTCCTGGGGCAACCAGTGACCTCACTTCCACCTCGTAGTCCTGGAGCGGCACGAGGGACGTTCCCAGGATGTTCACCCATGTGGACCCCTCGGGAATGTCCAGCTGCACGGAGGATCCCTGGCGGCAGAAATAAAAAATTTACACACAACCTATGAATATTCAGGCCCGTTTTCCAGAGCTGCTGTGGTGATTAGCAGCTACAGTGGAAAGCAGGGAGATAAAAACAGAGACGTAAAATCCTCTCACCTGATCTGAGGCCTGGTGATACCGGACCTGGTACAACAGCTTTGTAGCTGCCTCAGCTGGTGGAGACCACTCCACAACCCAGTCACCATTATTCTCACTCACTTTCACCTGCACTGGCGAATTGGGACGAACTGTTGAAAAAATATAAGATAAAATAACTGTAGCTTGAGTCAAAACGTAGGGTTTAACAGATCCCATTTTTGTTGCTCTTTTGAAAATATACTCTGCATAACCCCACCATTTACGTCGTACACAGTGTTTTGCAAAAGTTAATTTGTAATTATTGAGCGGAAGCAAAAGTTTCGCCATTTTTCACATTTAGAAATCAGCAACCTTTCCTCTCTTAATCCTGACAACTCGTGAAAAAGGGGCGTAAATATATTTGTAGAACACATGACCGACTGCAAGGTTGTATGTTTCATGTTTGCTGTAACCTTTTTTTTCCTCCATTTATTTTTATGTGCATAGATAATATAATACAGGTATATTTTCAAAAGAAAAAAAAACATGAATGTAATGTCTAAAAATGTCCACCAGGGGTCGGTATTTAACATTATAGTGACCTACAAGGAACTAAATCCCAAGTTATCCAGCTAATCAGTGTCCTATGTACTGATTTAGAGGTAATGGCACAAATCAAACACTAGGGGGAGCTGTACAGCCACGTCACAGACCTGGTTAACCGCTGTTTGTCTGCACTGCTTCCTGTGGTCTTATCATCCCCTTGTGTGTTTTTAATTTAGCCTGATATGCTCAGATAGGCACAGAGGGACTTCCGCCACCGCTGCCACTTCTCACCTCCTCTGTATTCTCTGTACTCACTGTGTTTGTGCGATTGAAAAGTCTTGGCGTTGTGTGCCGGCTGGAGCTTCAGCTGCAGACGTTCAGGGTCCACATCGGTGAGAGGGCAGCTGTACCTCACTCCATCCAGAACACAGTCCAAAGAGGGAACCTCACAGTTCCCTGTGAGGAACTGTTACAGTAACAGTTCCCTGTTACAGCTGTACAGTATAGTTGTGCATGCCTGTGTGTTTAAAGGGTTTTGTTTAGACCTGGCATTAACCTGGAGAAATCTGTAAATGTCTTAGTGGCTAAACCAACTTCCATCTGACCCACTAATTTGAGTCCCTCGCCCTGACTGATGGATTAACACACACACTAACACTCTCTCACCGTAGAGTGCTTTTAAGCAATATCTACAAGCAGTGTCGTTTGCATTAACTTTGATTAGAGACTGAAATGTACCTTACTTG